CTGGCTCCTCTCTCCTCCCCACCCCAGCCCCAGGGGGTGGGCAGGACCATGCAGCAAAGCCAGTTATAAACACAACAGGAACAGCTAACATTTATTGGGTGCAGACAGCAGGCTGTGTTTTACATGGATTTAAATCTTCACAGCAGTTTTTAAGACTATTATTCCCATTTTACAGAGGGCAAAGCTGAGAAATAGAGTACAAGTTCATCTAACTTATAAGCAGTGGAGCTTGGATTTGAACCCAGGCAGCAGTGTAACTCCAGAGCCCATCTTCAGTGTATGATGATGGGTTGGTGGCTGAGATGATCTTCTCTAGGTGACCATGAGCGGGATATGTGCTTGTGAAGGTGCATACTCAGGCGTCACTCCAACACTCAGCACAGTGCCTGGCACATAGTACATCTTACTAGATATTTGAGAAATGAGTGAGCAATGTCAGCGCATCAATGAGTGTGACTTTGAGGTGTTTATTAAATGCTAGGATGTTTACCTGTGGTGCATGTGGGACCCATCCATGTGCCTGTACTGTGTGAACATGTGTATGTGTGCACACACTCCCGGTTGCCCTGTGCCAGCCTGTGCCTTTGTGTCTGGGTGAGTGAGTAGTGGTAAAAGCTGCCTTCCATCTCCCTGGATGGTGGCCAGCTCTCTATCCCTACTGAGGGGCTCTGTTTATAGCAGGATAAGACAATGGGTCTGTGTGGGTGGGGCTCCCACCCCCCCAAGACCCACCTCTTTGAGGCCCAGCTGTTGGACCCTGCTGGGGCTGAGCTGGTCTCTCACTGTTATCTCTGTCTCCCAGGAGACCAGGCCTCACAGCCCCAGGGAAAGTGCTCATCTGCCTGTTCCTGGCTCCAGACCTGGGGTGGGGGCAGGGAGTGGAGGAGCAGAGCTGCAAAGGAGGGGCTGGTGATGGTACAAGGGTGCAAGAGGGCACCATTCACAGAATTTGCATCTTCAGTCACCAAAGCCCTGGCTGATTTCCCAGTGAAATGAGAGGTAAGGGTGAGAGCAGGCTGATTTGATAGGACAAGGGCCACCAGGCACTTCTGAGCTGTCCAACAGGACTGAGAAGTTGGGCCTTTTATGGGATGGGGCTCCATATGAAGGAGACATCACTTCTCTGGGGATTCTCAGGGCCTTTAACTGGGATGGGGACCTGGGTGAGAGGCCAGGATTGGATCTGAGGGTTTCTTTGTTGGATCTACATGTCCCCATATAGGATGGGGGTATGAGTGGGATCTACAGGAAACAGAACTGGGTCTTAGGCTTTCCCTGTGAGATCTTAGGGTGCCTTATGAGGTGGGTGTTTGGGTAGAAGCATAAGTGGGGGAATGTCCTGAGGATTTCTCTGTGGAACTTTGGTCCCTATAAGAGATGAAGAGCCCCAACCGGTTTGGCTCAGTGGATAGAGCATCGGCCTGCTGACTGAATAGTCCCAGGTTCGATTCTGGTCAAGGGCATGTACCTGGGTTGCGGGCACATCTCGAGTAGGGGGTGTGCAGGAGGCAGCTGATCGATGTTTCTCTCTCATCGATGTTTCTAAATCTCTATCCCTCTCCCTTCCTTTCTGTAAAAAATCAATAAAAAATATATATATTTTAAAAATGAACTGGATGGGTTCTCTGAGGTGATGAGACCTCTATGAGATCTTGAGGTCTCTTGAAAGTGTGGATGTGGGGACACTGTTTTTTGTTTGTTTGTTTTGTCTTCCTAACTCTCCCTCTCCACACCTAAAGGCCAAGGCTGTGGCTGTGGAGGAGGTAGCAATGAGGGTGCTGAGCTGGCAAACAAAGCCACCTGTGCATCCACCCTCAGGAAGCTCTGGGCAAAACTGATCTGGGAAAACAAACAGGACCAGCTGCTGGGGGGTTGGGAGGGGGGCTAGGAGGGGGTTGGATGAAGGGAGACTGGGGGACTGGAGCTGGACCAACCTAATGGACAAAGAAAGGAAGCTGGGAGGGGGTCCATAGTACAGGAAAGGGACAGAAACCCAGAGTCCCATTCTGGCACACCGGGCAGGAACCCCTGACAGCCCCTTTCTTGCTCCTTTTCCTCAGTGGTTCATTCTTTCCTTTCTCCCTCAACTTTGAGGTCCAGAGTCAGGGAGGGGACCCTGACTGGGGAGATCTTGAGAGAAGTCTAGAGGTCTTCTGGGCAACTAGCTATTGGCAGTGCTTGGTGGGTGTTCAGACAGCTAGAACGAAAAGGTGTAGACTGTAGGGTGGGGGCAGTGGTACCTATACACCATCTTCCTGATGAGGAAGCTGAGGTACAGGGGAGGGGAGAGGCTGGCTAGTGCCCCACAGCTTCATAGTGCAAGCCAAGATGGGAACTTAGGACTAGAAGAGGAGCAGTGGCCCTGCTCACCCCCCACACAGGGTCCCCACCCCAAATCTCAGCCGGACTCCTAATTCTAATTGGATCTCAGCTGTACTACTACCACCACTTCCCCCCAAGTCTTTGAAACACACACACACACACACACACACACACACACACCCTTCTGTGGAATACAGTCTTCTGATCTGACCAACACCTGGACTGGAAACAGCCCTCCCAGGTGGAGCCCCAAGTTCAGGGGCATGCCCAGACTCTGGGCCCCAGCTCCTGTAAACACAGCGTCCAGTCTGACAGACACCCCGCAGCCTCGGATCTAACACCCGGCCCGCGTCACCGACCGGGTGAAGACGCACAGCCTGACGCACTGGCAATGAGCGCCCGCCACCCCTCCCAACCTCAACCTCCTACCAGCTGCCTCTTCCACCAGCCCGGCAGCCTCAGCTTCCCTCCCAAAGCAGCCCGTCTGCGCCTCCTGGTGGCTGAATCCAGAATTCTACAATAGAGATAGGGGAGAAAGGCAGAAGGGCAGGGCAGAGAAATTGGGGTTCCTCACCTCGCACTGCTGCCATAGTCCCGATTTGGGAAGCCAAGGCAAAAGGCCAGGACACCGAGTCCAGGATTGGTTCTTGCCTTCCTTGATAGTTTGTATTTCTCCCTTATGGTTTGGGGGAAATTATGGTCTCTCTGTGTCTCTCCAAACCTCCTCGAGGGCAGGGAGTCAGGGGACTGGGCATGGTCTGACCCATCCTCAATCAAACCGGGCCATGGTTCCCTGCTCTGACTTAAACCCTCCTAACCTGGACTTTATTTCCCATGTTGTAGGACATTCACCTTCACATACACTGTGATCCTCAAGAGCAATTCCTTGCCAGTAAGAGAGAGACACAGGGGAGGGCAGACTTTGGCTGCCCTCAGCACCTCTTCTTGGCACTCCAGAACTTCAGGGTGGGGAACTTGGTAGGATGGGCAAACCATTACTCCTGCACTCTCATTGTAGAATTTCCTCTACACCCCAACCCCATTGGACATTTGTCCCAACCTGACTACCTTATTCACTCATTCAAGATTTACTCAGCGCCTACTTTGTGTCCAGCATGGTGCTAAGGTTTGAAAATAACAAAACTGACACAGCCTGCTTAAAACGAGCTTACATTTGGTCTAAAAGAAGGCACTCAGCACACCCATAAACACTCATAAACAAAAAGTGAAAAAGACAAATTTACAGTGACAAATGATACAAAGAAAACAGGGTGATGTGATGGACAGAAAATGTCAGAAACAGGGTCACCCATGCCAAGATCGTGTGACTAGGACACTTGAGGGAATGGGGAACAGCACATGCAAGGGCACAGAGCTGGTTAGAAATCCTGCTGCAAGTTGTGAGGAGATGTCTTCCTTGGAGCCTCCCTTGGGGCCCCAAACCTTTCACCTCCTTTCCTCAACCCAGCTGGCGGGGATTGGGGGCAAGGGCCTAGTCAAAACCGAAACCCAGGTTCACATTTCAGCTGGAACACCTCCTCCACCAGCTTCCACCAGACTGTCCTAAGCTGCCACTTCTTCTGTGAAGTGCAGGGCAAGAACAGCTCCTACCTCTCGGATATGGTGTGAGAATTAGCTGAGCAGAGCGCCTGGCCTGAACTAGGCGATCAGTGATCAGCTGCTGGCTCTCAGGTAGACGGGGACCCCAGCCCAGTCCCTGGAGCTGTCAGGCGGCTGGTAACTACTTTAACCACTTCCTTAGTTACTATTATTCTAGGTGCTTTGTAAATCCGAGCCCTCCCTTGGGTGGTTCAAATTTCCTGCGCTCAGCACTGCCTTGCGTCCCTCCGCTCAAGAAAATCCAGGAATACAACGCGGATCTAGGAACTCAATTTGGGAGGAAAGAGGTTGCGATGGAGCCGTCTTACAGGGAAGAGAAGACTGAAGGGTGTGAGGAAAGTCGCTTTCGGGGAGCCTGTCTATCTCTACCCTCGCGTCGCCCAAAAGAGAGGCCTCGACCTAGGGCTGAAGAAAAGGTGGACTTTAGACATTGGGAAGAACTTTCGTGCCTCCAGTCAGAAATGTGCAGTTTCAGTGAGGCCTCTGGGTAGCCTGGTACCTCTAGTCCCGAGGGTCTGGGCCAGGGAGGGTGTGTTCTGCTCGAGGTCGTGTGCGCCTTGCCTGGCTCTGGCCCCCCAAAAAGAAAAAGCTGAGTCACCCTTGGTTGCAGGGTGCGCGGGACGTGTGCCTCAGCACTTTCTAGTGTAACCCCGAGGACAGGGGCCAGATCCGCGGCTGCGGGAAAGGCCTCGGCTCCTCAGGGGACAGCAGAGCTGACCGCAGCCTGCCCGCTGACTCAGTTCCCCCCAGCCCAGCAGGAGAGGGCATGCAGAGGGAGGTGAGGCCGAGTATAAAGCCCCACACGCCCGGCCCCTGCGCAGCCTCTCCATTTCTGTCAGCACCATGCTCACCCGCCTGGTGAATATGGTGAATAGTCCGTGCTGGGGCAGGGTCTTTTCAGGGCCGGGGAGGGCGAGATGACGGAAAGCCACTAGCAATCCGGGTCCAGACCCCGGGGCCTTCTCCCTCAACCCGGGTTGGATGGGCCTGCGCCTGGCTCCGGAGGGGGTTCGCGAGATGCTGAGCACTTGGTGTCCTGTCCTTCTTGCCACAGTGGCATGAGCTGCGCCCTCCCCGCCGGGCCAGCCGGAGTCCGCCTGCCTCACACTCGGAGAGAAAAAGGACTCCAGGGCCGCCGCGGTCGGCTGTTGAGTGACTGCACGAACACCTGCGAGGGCGGAGGCCTGCGAAGGGTGCGCTCATCAAGGCGGAATGCGGTGTGTGAGTGATCGCCCAGGTTCGGCGGGGCTGCGGGGCTCTGGGCTCCCCTAGCCCAAGTTCCCAGTCTGAGACATCTCTCAGCCCTCCGCTCCCCGCTCCCCGGTCTGTAAGCCCTGCCTGATAAAGACCCACCAACAGAGGAAACCCTCTGGCCTCCCCCAAATCCCCAGCAGCCTCAAGACCAGTCATATGACAGAGTGCGAGCTAAAAGAATAAAGGCAAAAAGGGAACCTTTGCTGCAGAGGCGGGGGAGCCGTGGGGCCAGCTTGAACAATGAAGAGGTTTCCAGTTTAATCTCCTCTCCCAAGTTAGATGGATCTGCGCTTCATTTAACACAAGAAGCCAAATCTCTTCCACTGGATCCACCTTGGTCTCCTAGAGCCTGGGCCCTTGGGAGAGCTGACTGTTGTTATCATAGGTTGCTATGCCGGTTGGGGTGCAGTAGGGTTCCTACACCTACTTTTGCAGGCATCTAAATTCTTGATGTAGAAGCACTTGGTTGGGTGATCTTTGTAAGCTGGAAAATTCTTTCGACCCTAAGGGCACTGAGCTGGAAGTCTGGACCCCTCAAACCCTATTCAGGGTGTTTAGCCCTAAAGGAGCTGGTCTGCCATGCAGTGGATGCGTCAGGGAAAGGGCCTGGGATTAGAGGGAAGGATCGGGTTTCTCAATCTTTTCAATCACAACAACGAGGGGGAGGAGGAGGAAATAGTGCTGCTGGGCAGATGCTTCCCAGCTCCCCTTACCTTTCCCCAGCTGGATGGCCTGAGTACCCCAATTTCCAGGGACAGCAAATCATTCTGGAGAAGGGTGACCATTCTTGCTGGAGCACCTGGAATGACAGTGGTGGCCACCACAGCAGCGACCAGCTGCTCTCTTTCCGGTCTGTGTTCTGCCGGGTGAGCACAGCTCTCCTGCTCTTCTTCTCCCTCCTAACTCCTGGATCCAGGCTCTGGTCCCACCGTGCTGCCTCCAAAAGGACATCCACTGACTGGGGGTGCATAAACAAATCTTTCTTAGATGGGTGGTAGTGGCATTACTTCCCAGAAGTAGAGGGCTGTCCATAAGGTTGGATTGTGGACCTAAGCCAGACGTTGAAGATCAGCACCACGGACAGCGCTGAGTCCCTGCCAGTCTTGAGAGGCATGGGATTTCTCACATCCAGTTGTGGGCAAGAGTGAGAGAGTGCCTCTGTGATCACACAGCCCTATGAGGTCTGGGTGGCTGCTATTAGCCCCATACACTAGTGTGGAAATGGGGATCAGATGAGACTTAGAGCTCAATCCAGGAATCAAAGCTTAGAAAGGTCAGTGTGAGTGTGCGTGTGTGTGTGTGTGCGTGTGTGTGTGTGTGTCTCTGTGTGTGTCTGTGTGTGTGTGTGTGTGTGTGTGTGTGTGTTGTGGTGAAAGGGTTGGTAATAAATCAAATATACTAAAGGGGAGGATCTCACTTCCTGTTTGTGCTGACTTAGGTACCCTGCTGGTGAGGCCAGGGACTGGGAGGTGGAGGGCAGAGAGCAAGCTTCTCCATTCCAGGAGACCAAGGAGCCTTTCAGGGGGAAGAACCTGGTACTGTGGAAGCCCAGACCAAACCAACACTGATGCCCTGGCCTATCTGTTCTGACTCTGCCATCCAACCCATTAGTTGGGCTGCCCAGGGTTCTGGGCAGGGGACTGGGTTAGTCAATGAGTGCAGTTTCCTTAGGGAAACTGTCTTCATTAATGGACCAGATTTCTCTCAAGACTTCTAATTTTCCTCATGAAAAATAGGTCAATGTCACAAGATACTTTCCAGCCCTGACCTGGAAAGGTCTCTAGGACACCCCCTTCAGTCTCACCACCTCAATCCAAAGCCATAGAAGAGACCAGACTGGGAATCTCTGAGCACCCCAGCTTTTCAGGCTGCTAGGAAGCTAATGGAATAACTGCTAGGAGTGTTTGTGGAGCCTAATTATCTGCACAACCTGTGTTGGCAGTGAAGTGAGGGGAGTGATGCTGAGAATGTACCCATTAACACCTCTTTGGAGGGCTGACCCCTACCTTTCTGTGCCTCAGAACCACAGTGACAGCCCTGCGACACTATTTGAGGGGGACAACTTCGAGGGTTGCAGGTTTGAACACAGTGATGACTACCCATCCCTGCCCTCCATGGGTTGGGCCAGTAGGGATGTGGGTTCCCTTAAAGTCAGCTCTGAAGCGTGAGTCCTGGGACTGGAATAAGGGAGATGAGAAGAACAGAGAGGAGAGTGAGGAAAGGTAATGGGCATGCTAAAAGACATAGTAAGAGAGATGTTGGAGACTGGAGGACAGAGGGAGGAGAGGTGATGGGAGACTTGGAAGGAAGCAGAAGAAAGTGAAATGGTGGAGATTGTCTGGGAGGGAGGGGCAGGTCATAGGAGTCAGGGGAACAATATAGGGATGGGGAAAATATTAAAAACTTGGATGAGGAGGCAGTGGAGGGCAGGAATAGGGGACATGGTCAGGAAGGTGATAGGAAGATGTGGACCAGTGAGCAGGGAAGGAAGAGATCTATGTAGGAAAGCAATGGTGTTGGAGCTGAGGGTTGGGAACTGTGAAAGGAGGACTACTACTAATGGAGGACATTGATGGGGCAGGGGCAGAGCCTACTTACCACCCTTTTGCCCTCGCTGGTCTAGGTGGGTGGCCTACCAATACCCAGGCTACCAGGGTTAACAGTATGTATTGGAGCAGGACTAGCATGGCAGGGAGCTCCATACCTACAGCGGATTTGGCACACAGGTCCATACTGGGTGGCTGCAGTCCATTCGAAGAGTACAGCAATGGGCCATATGGCCCCAACACCTCTCCTGAGGACCCTCAATAAAGCCTCCCGAACCTGCCTGCCCTCTTGCCTCTTTTTTTGTGTCTTGCTTTGTGATTTCCATCCTCATCTTTCTGAGGGTCCTTCCCTGCCAACCTGCCTCTCCCTTCAGGCTTCAGGACCTTTGATTATGGAGCATAACTGAATGAGTGGGTGGCTAGACTCATGAGGCTGAGAGGAAACTGCTGGGAAGAGTCTTGGGTATCCTGTTAACTACAACTAGTCCCACATCACTCCTTGGTAAAGGCCCATCAGCTTGGGGTGGCCACTGTGGCCACATGGCACTATTGCCATCCCCTGGTTGGAGTGCATGCAGCTCCACAGCAGGATTTAATGCTGCACTTCAGTCCTGGGACAGGCACCATCATGCAGGGCAGGGCTCTGTGCAGGAGCTCTGTTGGGTTCAACTTTAACCCCTATGGCATTTCCAGTCTTTATTGTCACCTCCCTCCCTCTTTGGCTAGAGAAGTCTGCATCCTTTTCCCAGTCTTATAAAATCTCTGCCTTACAGAAAAGCAAGAGTGTGAGAGGAGGAATTAGTGGGAGGTTTCACTGTCTACCAGGACCTTCTAAGGGGGAGACTTCCTCTCTCTGAACAGAGCCTCCAGACCTTTTGTCTGAATAATAATGATCCCTCACATTGTTTGAACTCCAGCATTTACAAAGCATTTTCATACCCCTCCTCTCTACTGTTCCAAACAACTCACTCTTCATTCTTCCTCTTCCTTCCCACTCTTAGGAGAACTGGTGAGCTGGAGAGGCAACCCCTCAGCCACTGACTACAGTGAGCCTGGGTTATGGAGCAGGTAGCAGAAGCCCACAGACATGGCAGGACTGAGTGTGGCAGCAGCCACCAGAGCCCCTGTCACCAATGTAGTTTCTTCCTAGTTTCCTCTTTTGTCCAGGTAATAACACCCTCAGTCCCACAGAGGTAGGACCTCCAAGGCTCTGGGGACTCCTCTCATCATGTCCCTCCCTCAGGAACGCTTGTGTTTTCCAGCCCCTAGTGGGCTTATCAATGCGGAGGGGTGGCTCAGATCATTGCCCCAACTGAGGGGAGGCAGGATGATGTTGAAAAACAGTCAGACTTGGACCTGGCAGTCCCCGCGGGTCCAGCTGTGCAGTCGGGCATCTGCTCCCTGGGGGAAGAGCCCTGAACTAGAAGTCAGAACACCAGAAGTCAGACCCAATCACATACCACCCCTGAGCTTCGATTCCCTCTTTTGTAAACTGGGGCTAGTGATCCCTGCCTTACCTGTGTCACAGGGATGTTTGGAGGATTCGTTGAGAACCCCCTGAAAATGCTTGTGGTGTTATGGAAAAGCACTGGGGCAGTCAATTAGGACCCTCCTTTCCTTCCCCAGTCTCCCCCCGCATGGATCCCAGAGTTAGGTCCAGAAACCAAGGGACAGCGTTCTAGGTGGAGTCTATTGCAGATGATTCTCCTAACACTCCATGCTTCATCCATTTCACCAATAAAAAAACTGGACCTCCTCTGAGAGGGAGAAGCCTCAGTGAGGCTACCCACTTAATTGGTGATTCGAACAAGGGCTCTTGACCCCAATCCATGCTAAGTGGAGGCTCACCTAAGCTCCAAACTTTTCTGGGCCCCAAAGGAGCCTGGGATTCCTGCCTAGTCACAGGCTTCCTAACTGTCTCTTTGGGAGTAGTAGCAGTAACAATAGCTAAATGCTTAGAGAGAGCCTTGTCTGAGCAGTCAGCATGTGTTGTATAAGCCTTATAACCCTATGTAATAGGTACTATAATCCCCATTTTACAGATGAAGAGACTAAGGTGGGGAGGTTATGTAACTTTTCCAAAAGTCACACTAGGAAATGAGACCCAGAGTTGAACCCAGACAAACTGGCCTCAGAGCCCAGCATCTCCCGACTCCGTTTTGGGAAGCAGACAACGGACAAAGGGAGATCTGGTCTCTACCATCAGCTGAGCTGTTCTCTCTCTGGGGGGGTCTGTGGCTGCTGGAAAGAGCAAGATGGGTTCAGAAATTGGCAGTGTGACCCTGAACAGGGCATTATCTGTCTCTTAGTATCAGTGTCCTCACCTGTACAACAAGGGAGTTGGGGAAGCTAATATTTGTAACAACTTTTGTTTTCCCAGACCTGGGGGTCAGACTCTGCTCCCCACACTGACAACAAAGGTGTGGTGGCTGCAGAGGCCCATTCCAGGCAGACTGGTGGCTTGCAGAACCCTGTGGGACCTGTACCCTGCCTGGAACTTGCTCATTGGCTGCACTCAGCCAAAGGCCATAGCGGGTAGAGGAAGACAATTCCTTACCGATTTAGCCAAGATCCAGATGGGGTTAATTAAAGGACAACTCTCATCTGCCACCCCCACACACCTGCCCATCGCCTACCCTCCCACTTACCCCCCATCCCACACCCGCACAAATTCTTCCTGGAGCCCACCTACCCCTTTAACACCTGAGTCCTCAGTGAGGCAGGGGCTCAGAACCTGAGATGCTGATCCATCACCAGTTTAGAGTTGGGATGTCTGGATAGACTGCTCACTCTGGGAAGCCTCTCCGATGAGAGCATTAAGTGACTGAACCTTGGTGTCTCCAGGCTCTGACCACCTGCTCCTTACGTTCTGTCTGGGGAAGTGCTAAGAAAACACCCTCCACCAGTACAGACAAACACTGGCAGTGACAGCAAGAACCCACCACGTTAGACTTTCCAGCCATTCTCAGTCAGGCACCCCAGAACCAGGATCCTACAGAAAACTTGCCCATTCTAATCCACGTGCCCTGGAGTTCCAGGCCTCATCACCTCCTGGGCTCAAGTAGCGGGAGAAAAAGGCCTGAAGAGTACCAATTCCAACAGTAGCCACCAGGCGCTTCATGGCTGCAGGTGGCTCCTGGCCCAGAGCCTTTAGCCAGCACCCCTCCTTGGCAGCCTACCCAGAGTTAGGAAGACCCACAAGTGCCCAGAGCCTCCAAGCCACCTGGGAAGCACGTCAGTTTGGCTAATACACAATCAGCATCTTTGCCACTTTTTCAGAGTGGATTTCAGCCTCCACTCCCCCTGAGTTGGGGGCCTTGTACAGAACACAACCCTGTATTAGCCCCTTTACTCTTGTAAGAGTAAGGTGCCAATTCCCAAGTGATTTAGGGATAGCCAGGATGGTAGCAGCTGTGAGGGTGGATGTAGGCTGGGATGACATGGAATGGGAAGGCTGGGAGAGTGGTCATTGTGGTGGAAGGGGAAGGGGGCTCATGAGCTTACTGTATGCCACAAATTAACGGGGAACAAATGAATGAGAAAAGGAGGAGAGAGACAGAAGGGAGAGAAAGGGTGGAGGCAGGAGGAGAGACTAAACGGAAGAGACCCAGAAAGGGGGGGAGGGGCAACGCACTGCAGTTGTGGGGAAGACGCCCCGCGCTGGCCCAGAGGCCTGGGAGCCCTGGAAAGGCAGACAGGGAAGGAGATCGGGTCTCCAGGGAAGAGCAGAGAGTGGGAGAGGAGTTGGAGGGAGAAGGCTTGGGGAGGAGGGGTGCAGAGATAAAGGGAGCCACGGCTGCCCGGCCCGGGAGCGCAGCGACAGGAGAGAGGGAGGGAAGCGGAAATTTAAAAGTGAAGATGCAGATAACGCAGCCTGGAGACGGGAACCCGGGTGGGGGTGGGAGGAAGAAGGGGGAGGAGAGTGAAGCGGTGAGGGGGGCGGGAATGGTCGGGTAGCAGGAACTGTGGCCCTGAAGGTCCGAGGTGGGGCCGCGTACTCCACCCCACCAATATTTGCTAAGACTCAGGGAGGCGGAAAAGAAACGCGCTCCTGACCCCT